GGCGCCGAGCCAGTGACCCCTTTTTAACAAAAAAAAATACACTGTGGCATTAGGAAGGTTGAGAACCAGTATACTAGTAGGAAGAAGGTGGGTCTCGCTATATTGGCCATTTGTGCCCAGAAAACTTCAACCTGCCCCACTGTTCAGGTGCCAGTCATTTTAGCTGTCTTCCCTAGGTTCCTTTGTGATTAGAGATGCTATTTAGTGAATGATGCTCCCTAGCTCAGAAAAGCTCTAATTTGGAAAAAAAAAAAAAAATGCTGGCTTTGGGACTCTAGGCAACTCCCCTGACTTATACCAGCCCACTTCTCCCACAGACTTCCCTCCCTTGTGCTTGGCCTCCCACTCTATCTCTCTACCATAGGCTTAAACAAAGGTCTTTTTCTGTGAGGACAGGAGGCATCAGTCTAGAAGCCAGGAGTGGGCTCTTATCACTGGATCTGCCAGTGCCTTATTCTTAGACTTCCCAGCCTCCAGAAATGTGAAAAATAAATGTTTGTTGGGAGCCAGGCCTATAATCCCAGTGCTCTCGGAGGCTGAGGTGGGTGGACCACGCAAGCTCATGAGTTCAAGCCCAGCCTGAGCAAGAGCAAATCTCTGTCTCTAAAAAATAGCCAAGTGTTGTGGTAAATACCTAATACCTATAGTCCCAGCTACTTGGGAGGCTAAGGCAAGAGGATCTCTTGAGCCCAAGAGTCTGAGGCTGTTGTGAACTGTGACACCATGGCACTCACCTGGGGGCAAGAAAGTGAGATTCTGTCTCAAAAAAAGTTTGTTGTTGGGGCAGTGCCTGTGGCTCAAGGAGTAGGGTGCCAGCCCCATATACCAGGGGTGGCAGGTTCAAGCCTGGCCCTGGCCAAAATTGCAAAAAAAAAAAAAAAAAAGTTTGTTGTTTATGACACATATATATATATTTTAATGATATTCTTATCATAGCAGCACAGACTGACTAAGACAAGGCCTATCAATCCCTCTTCCTAGCACAGTTCTCCCTTGGCTGGCTCTTTTTTGCTATTTAGGTTTCAGTACAGATACCAATGGCTCAGAGCAGTGAGGCACTGCTCACTCCTCACCCAGCCATGAACCATCACATTGCCTTGTTTTAATTCCTTTGTAATACATATCTTCCACTGTAGCTCCTCTGTCTCTAAAATATACAACTGTATCTGGCACAGAGTGGCACAAAATAAACGGACAGGGGTAAGAACCTGCCTATGGCTATCACCATACCATGCATTGTTCCAGGGGAAACTTTCTTCACCTGAGGTCTTTGGTTCCCTCTGGCCCTATGTACTGTCCTTTTACTCCTTGCCTGCCTAGAACAGGAGCTCTTACCCAGCTTCCCATAGTGCTCAATGAGATCCATCTTGGAAAGGAGGTTGACATGTGGCAGTTCCACGTGCAGCATGGTGGCCAGGGAGGTGCACAGTACTGAAATAAACTTGGCCGGGTCTGTGCAGTAGTGCGAATCCACGAGGTGGACTGCAGTCAGCTGGGAGAGAAGAAAGGGACAGGGTGATAGTGACCTGGGGAAGAAGGACAATAGGGCCTAGGTCTCCCTCCCAGAATGGGCAATTAACTTGAGTGTAAGCCTTCCCCATTAGTCTCCACCTGCTTCTGTTCTGTTCTAATAAGCCACATTCATTTTCTTCTTTCAGGAAACATAAAGTTATTTCTTACAAAATGGATTGCACTGAGCCTTCCGGTGGGCAGAAGGGTCTAATTACATTGCATGACTCCATTCTTTCATTTACTATTGCTCACCAACTTACAACCATCACCTCCATGTCCCTGTCTGCATAATCCTTTCTATTTTTCAAAAAATCTTTTTTTTTTTTCCAGTTTTTGACCGGGGCTGGGTTTGAACCCGCCACCTCCGGCATATGGGACTGGTGCCCTACTCCTTTGAGCCATAGGCGCCACCCTATTTTTCAAAAAATCTTAAGTGGCTACTGACACATCCATTTCACAAATGAGAAAACTGGGGTTCAGAGAAATGAACTTCATTACCCAGACCACACAGCGAGTCAGCGGCACAGCCAGAATTCAAACTCACGTCGGTTTTACTCCAAAGCATCTCAGCCCCTACCTCGTTATGTGACATGGGGGTGTGGCATCTGTCCTCCCTGCCTTAGTTCCTCTGTATTCAAATTAGGCCTGCCCATCCCGAGACGCACCCTAAGGTCCCACTGCGTCATTTGGGAGAAGATGCTACGCAGGGCGCCGTGATGCGTGCAGAGCTCCACTTGGCCTGGGCAGTCGAAGAGAAAGTAATAGCCACGAAGGGGGTCGAGCTTGGCACGCAGCCAGTCCAGGTTGGCTTCCAGGTACTCCATGCAGTAGAGCAGGCCGCCGTTGGGCCCTAGCCGCAGCGCGTCCATCACGTCTCCCAGCCCCACCAACTCTCCTACGTCCACCGCGCACTCGTACGGCAGACCGTCGTTGGCCGGGTCCAGGTTCACAACGGCCACGCGCCGGCCTAGCGCGCGCAGGAACTCACTCATACCCAGACAATACGTCGTCTTCCCCGAACCCGGCGGGCCGATCACCACCTGCCCAAAGGCCGTGGCCGGGGCGGCTCCAGCCATGGACAGAACGCTCCCCGGACCGCAGCAAGTCGGCGGGAAAACAGACGAACAGCCAGGCAGGAGATAAGATGGGGGCAGGGATCTCCGATGTGCACTTTGTTGGGTGTCAGCGGCGGTACCGGGGGTCGCCAAAGGAGAAACAGCCGGGACCTGCGCTACCCAAGGGGAACAAGCAAGTACGAATGGGTCTGCTCTCGACTTCCGGACAATGCCGGAAGCGGCAAGCTCTACAGGAAGTCCCGCCCTCACGGCGGACTTAGCACAGCGCCAAGGCGCATGACGACACAACCGCGTTTCTCCCTTTGGGGACGTTCGAATGTGGGAGCTCTGCGGGGAAAACTCTAGGGACTTGACCGACCTCCCTTCAGACTCCAATCAGGAGAGAAAGGGATATACAGTAATAAACTTCTTTATTCTTCGGTTATGTGGCTGACCGGGGCCACCTCTGCGGACTCTGCGATGCTCGGTCTCCACCGTCGAGGGGCCCGCCCCAAGACCGTGTTTTCCCCAGAGCACCACAAATGCCCCCCTCTTTCGAGCCCCTTGCTCCCCTTTCTGGCCCTCATGGTAACCCCCTTAAGACTCCCCAAGGAAAATTGTGCTGATAAGCTCACCCAGTCCAGGCTTTTCAAGGTGCCGTGGTAGGAAACAGGGGCCAGGGTTAGGAGACCAATGAAAAGAGACCATTAAGCACTAATATCCAACAATTTTGTAAAAATGCCCTTGAGGTAGAGAATCTGTAGGGAAGCTCAGAGCAAAGCACCCTGAAGACTGCTGATCCCTGGCTCTTTTCTGCTTTGGTGGTAGGTAGGGCCCGGGAAGAGAGTTTTCCTGTAGCCCCCAGTAACTCTGACCATGGAAGCCCTTAATCCAGTCACTCAGGCTCTTTAGGGGCTGTGTGAGGCACAACTGGAACCCCTCACAAAGGCCATCTCTGTCCGAAACTTCATACTAGTGGGTGGCTGGCGGCGGAGCAGTGATTCCCCCTGGTCCTGGGGTAGAGGCTCATCATAGATGGTGGAGATGAGGCCCAAGCCAATTCCACGGGGTCTCTTCAGTTGCCCAAATGGCTGCAGCTTCTCTCCATGGTACCTGGATTTAAAAAGGGCTCTCAATGAGGACTGTTCCCTCAAGCCCCAGTACAGGGGTTGGAGAAGGACAAAGAAGTAGCTACTGCATTATTTGGTTTGTTCATAGACACAAGCTTTAAATCTGGATTGTGGCTCTCCAGCCCCCTTATTTATCCATTGACAGGCAGTGCCAGCAGCCAGGGGTCTCTGATACAATTTTCATTTAATTTCTGTCACTACAGACTCCCAAATGGCAATCATCAAGTTCAAACTCCTCAAATGGGGGAATAACTTTCAGGGGATCAATGATCCTGTTAAGTCTTAGGGCTTGGTCTAAAATGAACAAAAAAGCGCCAAGTCCACTTTTGCTTCTTCTAACTCTGCTTTGAAGTTCATCCATCCCAAGACCAGTGGGAACAGAGAAACCAGGGCACAGATGAGAGGTTTGGGCACTAAGGTTAAGTCACTCTGCCACACTCACCCCAATCCACGCTTGCATCTGGGGTGCTGGCCATCACTATCCAGGGCCTCAGGCAATCCTGAGCACCTGCTGCCCAGGCCCTGGCCCTCAGCCCAGCCCTGCCGCTCCATCACCTTCCGCCCAATGCCCTGTAGAGAGAAGGGTAAGACTCAAGAAGTAGGTCTCCTGCTGGGAGGGGGGATGGGATGGGAGGAGAAGGAGTGGAGGTAGACAGGAAAAGAGAGGGTCAGTGGTTTGGGTACAGTGCTCACTTACCTTGGTGTGACGCTCAAAGGTGCCCACCTGGCATGTGATCACAGAAACATCTTCCTGGCCACCTCGGAGTCGCTGTTCCAGACGCATTTGAACAGAGTCTCGGGCATCCTTGTCTCCACCATCTGAGGAACCAGAGCCCAGTTTGTGGAAGGATCCTTTGTAGTGGAGGGAATCAGGTTTCTAGGACCCCCACAAAATTTCTTAATTTATTTTCATGGTGTTCTGTTATCTGTCATTAGACTGGAAGCTCCTCACAAATAGAAACCATGGCCTTCCCCCATCTTACAGAAAAGGACATTGTGGTATAGAAAAGTCACAAGAGCCAACAAATGCGACACAAGATTAAAGACCCAGGTCTTCTCTCACCAGCCCCAGGCCATTTTTGACTTTAAAACCTAAACTCTCACCGGAACCTGAGCTCCTGACCATCCCACTCTACCAGGGCCTGTCCCTCAGATCCAGAGCTCCCTGAAGGCTGTTCCCACATGGCCTTCCTCCTCTACCAGGACAGGAAAAAAACTGTCCACAACTAGCACTTACTGTCTTCAACTACAGATATTTTAAGAGAGGAACCCTTTCACAGTGGGCCACCCCAAGGGAAGTGGTCCTGTTTCAGCCTCTGCTAAGCATCTCTGGGAATGTGTCACTGCAAGGCCAGGGAACCAGTTCCAAGTCCCAATACTGCCACCACTTTCCCAGTACCTCTGTCGTAGTACACACTCATGTCCACATCCCAGTCATCAGCTGTCTGTTCATCAAAGTCTGCAGGGATATAAAAGCATACAACAGAGTGGTTTCAAGACTGTTCTACTGAGAGCTAAACCTAGAGTTAGACACAAGTTTCAGAACTTGGGGCTTTTGTTTGTACTTTTTATTATTTATTTCAGACAGTCTTATTTTGTCACCCTCAGTAAAGTGCCATGGCATCACAGCTCACAGCAACCTTAAACTCTTGGGCTTAAGTGATTCTCTTGCCTCAGCCTCCCAAGTATCTAGGAGTACAGAAGCCCACCACAATGCCCAGCTACTTTTTTAGAGGTCTCATTCTAGCTCAGGCTGGTCTCAAACTCATGAGCTCAGGCTATCTTCGTGCCTCAACCTCCCAGAGTGCTAGGATTATAGGCATAAGCCACTATGTTCAGCTTATTTGTTTTTTTTTTTTTTTTCAGAGACAGAGTCTCACTTTATTGCTCTTGGTAGAGTGCCTTGGCAGCGTCAGTAACCTCTAACTCCTGGGCTTAGGTGATTCTTTTGCCTCAACATTCTGAGTAGCTGGGATTACAGGTGCTTGCCATGACGCCTGGCTATTTTTTTGTTGTGGTTTGGCTAGGGCCAGGTTTGAACCCGCCACCCTCGGTATATGGGGCCAGTGCCCTACTCACTGAACCATAGAGGCTTCCCAGCTTATTTGTATTTTTAGATCTCTTCTGGGAGGGTTAAGAATCAGGGGAATTTTCTCTCCAGCAGAGGAATTTTCTCTCCATCTCACTGCTGATCCCCTTTTCCTAAAAAGGCTGACTGGTCTCAACCTGTCCCCTGGCCTTTTGTTTGGGCTCACTGCCAGAAATCCACCATGTGCAACAGAGAATCCCTTCCCTTGAGCCAGCATTACCTCCTTCTTCCTCCTGCCAGAACTGGGCGTCAGTGTAGAACACCAGGCCAGAGCCACCTTTCTCCCACTTGAGCTCGATCTCCTCCTCAAAGAGCCGCTCAGTGGTCCGCTCCTGCCTTGTCACATCCTCGTGTAGTGCTTCATGCCGCTCCCACTCCTCACACCGGTCATCGTCCTGGGAGAAGGTGGACAGATGTGACCTCCCTGTCTAGCTTCATGCCCAGAGGGAGGGAAGCTCAGGGCACAGGAGGCATGTGAGTGGTGCTCTGCTCCATTCCTTCACATTTCTCTGAGAAGCAGCACTGGCCCTTGACCAACACACCTCTCCAGCTCTGATTTTTCTCAACATAGTTTGCTCCTTTCCCCACGCCTCTCATCCTCACAAGCTTTTGGCCATGTTCCCTGCCTGAAATATCTGCCCTCCTCTCCCACACCCTTTTCTTCTCCACTTGGTTAAGTCCTCCTCATCCCTCAAGTCCTCCAGCCTCCGTGAAGCCCCTCACTATTAGGCACACAGCTCTTGCCAGTCTCTGAACTCTCAATGCTAATCAGTACATAGTGATTATATATGTTGTCATAAAGAAAGGACAGGAATTAGACTTGGCCGGTAGCTCAAGTGGCTAAGGCGCCAGCCACATACACCTGAGCTGGTGTGCCAGGGCCTGCCAAACAACAATGACGGCTGCAACCAAAAAATAGCCGGGTGTTGTGGTGGGCACCTGTGGTCCCAGTTACTTGGGAGGCAGAGGCAGGAGAATCACTTGAGCCCAGAAGTTGGATGTTGCTGTAAGCTATGATACCATGGCACTCCACCCAGGGTGACAGCTTGAGGCTCTGTCTCAAAAAAAAAAAATCTAAAAAAGAAAAAAAAAAAGACAGGAACTAACACATCATCTACTACGTGTCAGGTCCTTCCCATAACTTAGCTCCTTCAGTCATCCCAACTACCCTGTGAGATAAGTAAATAAGTACCATTATTCTCATTCTATAGATGAGGAAAGGAAACCAAGGTTCAGAGTAGTGAAAAGTGATTTGTTCATGACAGTACTCCAAGAGAGAGTGCCAGAGCCAGCATGCAAACTTAGGTCACCACACCATGAAGCCTCTCTAGATGCTGGCTCCTTCTCTTTGGAGAGATTCTAGACTTTTTGAGAGGAGAAAAATGGATCTTAATATAACTTTAGAATCCTGCACTAGCCCTTGGCTTACAACTTATGGAAAGACAGGATGATTCTTAGCTAGAAACTTCAGGAGACCTCAGGAATCACAGAGCAGGTGCTGGAGAAAAATCAGGATACTGCTACACTAAGGATGTGTTAGCAATGCAACTCTTGGCTCGGAGCTTTGAAAGGGTGAATTATCGTTTACCCAAAGTACACATTTAAAAAAAAAGTTTTCCCAACAGGGCGGCGCCTGTGGCTCAAGGAGTCGGGTGCCGGCCCCATATACCAGAGGTGGTGGGTACATAACCCGGCCTCAGCCAAAAAACAAAACTGCAAAAAAAAAAAAAAAAAAAAAAAGTTTTCCCAACAAATTATCTCACTTGATTTTACAGATGAACAATAAACTTTGGAAAAAGGAACCACAAAACATCTATTTCTTTCTTTCTTTTTTTTTTTTTGTTGAGACAGAGTCTTACTTTGTTGCCCTTGATAGAAGGCTGTGGTGTCACAGCTCACAGCAATCTCAAACTCCTGGCGTCAAGCAATTCTCTTGCTTCAGCCTCCTGAATAGTTGGACTACAGGCACCCTCCATAACACCCAGCTACTTTTAGAGACAGGGTCTCACTCTTGTTCAGGTTGGTCTCCAATCTGTGAGCTCAGGCAATCCG